TCATTAATTTTCTTAAGATGAATCAACTTATCGTCTAAAACAGTAAAGTGAATATAAAACATAAATAGTTTAAATAAGAATCCCTTAAATTTAGTTATTAAAGAATTGTGACCTACAGTCAGCAGGAAATGATAGAATAAAAAAATCAATATCCTATTATATAGATATTGTTTCTTTCAGCATTGCTGCGTTTCTTTGTATTATTAAACAGCTGATGTTTGAGCCAATACTGCAGTATCTGTGACAAGCTTAAAATCAGCCAATCATTTATATATTGTGTCTCCCATAGCAGAACCATGTCCTCAGCCCATCACACCTCCCTATTTCAGGCCTTCACTCAGCCGACTGTGCTTTTTATAAAGCCACGATGTTCTGATCTGTTTATATTCCCCCTGCAGTCTCTGTTTCGGAGGTAAACCCACTGGAGGATTTTGCATCGTTCCCTAAATGTAACTTATCATAATGTTGTTCCATACGGTCATTCAAAACTATTGTGCATCTAATGCAGTAGCCTATGCGGCCGCTGATGTTGAAAGTAGCTCTGTGGAAGGTCATTGAATTCAGACTGAACCTGAATAAAACATGAAAAGCAAAATCAAACTCATTCAGAAGGAGAAGTTTTGCATTTGGGAAATGTGTCCGATTCCAATCTACACACAGTCAAAGTATTAGTAGTAGTATATACCCCAGACTGAAAGCAAAAGAGCATGCAGATAACAAGGGTTTCTAGAGAAACAATTAGTGCTGTGCTTTGTTAGGTCTGAACATACATGAGACGCAAGAAAGTGCAGGAGAATAAATCTCTAAATGCTTTTAGAATACATTTACTTTTTTCCACACTGATAACTTTCAGAGGACAAGATTACACATTTGAATTATCTAAACATCTTTCATAAGAAACATGAACTTTTTCATGTCATTCATCCATATAAAAAGCTATTGATTGCTAATAGGATTTGTATTACTGGATCTATAATCTAATACAGTAATGCACCCCTGTGTCCAATATCAGAAGTTAAAAAGAGGTTTCAATTCTAAATAAACTGCCCTAACAGTTAATCATTGTAAGATGCTGAGTTATAATCACAGGACAGAAATCACTAACCTAGCCATCTATTATTTGAGAGCTGTGCTGGGGGGGTCATGTGTTGGGGTCACTGCTTATTTGTAAAAGACACAGTTTGGATAACGCTGATGTTTTCCCTGGATGTTTCCAAGTCGTGTCACTAAGGAGACTTGCGTCAACCCACCACTCTCTAAGGAATGAAAGAAAGCTTTAAGATGCATAGGACATGTGAGTGTGCGTGTCGGGTTGTGTGGTGGATCTCTGGGATACAGCAGGCTGCATGACCTCCCTGTATCGACGTGTGTGTTTATCCCAGAGTGGATATTTGCCCAAGTTTGTTTCAGTGTCTGGGGGTCGGAGGGAGCAGGACAGACAGAAAACGGAAACAAAAAGAGATTAAAAAAAGAACAGGTTTTTGGCAACTTGGGGGCAACGGAAACAAGCTGTGAACACAACCCTGTCATTCCATCATTTGATGTTAACATGGAAAACGAGTTAGCAAACAGCAGCGTATTTACTCATCAAGCAGAGCAACATAGTTAATTTACTTTTCTGTACTTCTGTTTATAAGTCTGGAATTCAATCTCCTTTTAACTCATGGTCTCCAACAACTCCTGAGAAGAGGTTGTACGTTTTCTGATGGAAAGGTAGCTCTCGGTTTTTTTGAACAACCGACATTGCTAAGAAAAGACATTCAAGAGGGAGAGTGAAGGTGTGGGGAAACAGACGAAACAAAACCACACAATGTGCAGGAAGAAGCTCAAATGCTTCCTAAAGTTGAGGGAACTTAAAGTCCGGAGATAATTCATGATGACTTTATCAATATGGGATACCCTATTTAACATTACACATTGATCAATTGTTAATATGAACATATTGATGAGTGCCACGTTAAATAAATCCACCAAGCTACAAAGCAGTGATTTGGGAAGTTGTTTGAACCAAAGGTAAATAATAAAAGAAACTTTACTAAATATATCATAAGAAATATTGATTGCAGCTGCTTTAAGTGTGCAACAAAGAAAGAGCACAAGTCACATGCTAATTGTTTTCAATGTGTTTGTAAGTGTATGGATCTTGTGGAGGCAGGGCCAGCCTACTGTTTCAATTCCTCCAGAGGAAATCTCATTACAGCCACTCTCCCTCTCAGCCGTATCACAGTGGGAAACAGATTTGGATATTGCTCTCTGCTTCTTCTTTTAAACACGCAGCCTGCAATCTGTTATGGGGAACAATGGAGTAGACTGATGAGGGAGGGGGAGCATGTATTGACTTTTTCTCTCTCCTCTTTCGTCTTAATGCATCTCACCCTCCACGCCCCACCTCACCCATCCTCTTTTGTTGAACACCTTTCCTTCCCCATCAACCTTCATCAATCTCTCTATCCTTGCTGGGTAAAAAATGGCACCCATTACTTTTGTCATGTGGGATACCGAAATACTATTCTTTCCACTGACAAACGTCAGGTGAAACAACTTATGGTGGCTCCCAAGGATGCAGGATGGAGGCCCCAAGGCATAAATCACTCCCAAATATTGGATCACTTTTTAAACAGAAGTTTTACTCATCTTTCCAATAGTGTTTTGGGGATTTACAGTCATTTCAGATCAAAGGTCAGTTGCTCAGAAAAAACTGGTGGACCAATTGACTGACAGACAAACATCCCTAGAGCCGTGACACCAGAGAACGCAATTTCCTTCCATTTAAGTATGATGAATGGAGAGCACACATTAGGCACCTTAAGTAAGAAAATAGTAATGACCTGTGCATTTTGCATAGCGTGGCCTTTTGGTGTTAATTACATTAGGTTGCAAAGTGCTGTTAAGGAACCTGAAAGGTCTGCAGGCGCTGCATCACTAATCAATTGCCGTCATCATGGCAGGTACAAAGGTCCCGACCCCAGGGACATGTTGGACACTGCAATTATTTCCTACTCCTTACATTGAACAAGATGCTCTGCAAAAATAGCAGGTGTATCTGCGTCTGGGGAGCAATTTCACTGTTTTAGAGAGATGGCTGTTCATATGAAGTGTGGGAATATAAAATGAACCAACAACACAATGGTGGCAGCCTGCGTTTGCAGTCTAAATATGAACTAATACAGGAGCAGGCTGCACGGCCGCTGCACCTCCTGGACACATTTTTTAGAAAATATCAGTGTGTATCTGTTGTGTCAGTTTGTTGTTGTATAACAAATGATTTAGTACACTGTGTATCCAATAAACCTTAGCGGAAACATACAGTGTCCTCAACAGATGTGTTTATGAGGATTAGGACTGTCTCTCCCCCCTTCTCCTTCTCCCCTCTGACCCTCTCTTTCCCCAAAAGGGAGGGAGGGTGAGGGACAGAGCTGAGGGGGTTGGCAACAAGTTTCCCTGCCCTGGCCAATGCTTCATACTTCAGCTAACAAACAGCTTTGTCTACAAACTGCACGCAGAGTTTCATTCACACGGGGACATTTGTCAGACGCTAGCCGTCAGTTTTTCTTTCATTCAGTGGAGTTTTTATTTGGTGGATTTATTTGATCCGTCTTTTGGAAGAATAATAAACATGATCAAGACCATGCTTGAACAAGCGAGGAGATATCCAGGGGTAGGTAGCGTCATGTTCATTTAAAGAGCTTTGTGGTTCTTTTTTATTCCACAGAGTTCAGTATACACAAGACTTCTTTATTTGTAATATAATGATTGTATATCGCTTTTTTGAGACCTTGGGGATTGGTCTTTAAAATTTTGATTTTTGAATTCACTGAAAGGTGCATGCATTTACAGAACCACATGTCTATTTGTTCATAATACTGTATATGCATTCTGTATATGGATACAAAAAGCAATTGTCCTTTTAGTTTGACTTTTAAATAAACTATTTATTTCATGTGAACCAACCATCTGTCCAACATGAACCAACTCATTCGAGATCATTTTCAAGCAAAAGTTATAGATATTTGACTATTTTAATTTAAAAAATGTCAGTATTTGATGAGAAATTATATATTTTTAATGGTTAATGGTTTGGTCTTTATGTTTTGGCCCGTTGGTCTGACAAAACGACCAATTACAAAATGTCTTCTTGTGCTCTGGAGACTTGTGATGAGCATTTAAATACCATTTACTAATATTCCATTGACAATGAAAAGTCTAGATAAATGTGAATACATTCATAACCTAAAGTAGATTTTGAAATGCAGCTGAATGCTCCAAAATCAAAGACCTTTGATCTGAAATCATTTTTGTTTCAAAAATATTTTGATCATCTTAGTCATTAAAACAAGTGCTGTGACTGCACATAAATACTAAGTATCAGTGGCATGTAAATTCGCTTGATTGATATCATGATAATATGTAGGAAGAAAGAAAAAGAAAGACACAGAGGCTGTCTGTGCTTGATTTTTTTTTCGTTGCCTCATAACTATGCTGAGGGTGACCCAAATTCATGGATTGATGGGGTTGGCTTGGCAGTGCACCAGAAAAGTAATAAGGGCAGCAAGAGTATCGAACCCCAGCGAGTATAAAACACATCGTATATCGGTCAGGCTAGATGGTAAAACGCGGAACACTCACTGTGTGGCACGATATGAAGATATCAGCACTGGGGAGTGGACAGCTCCCAAAACACAGGCCTATCTTGATTATGCGCTTTGTGTGTGTGTGTGTGTGTGTGTGTGTGTGTGTGTGTGTGTGTGTGTGTGTGTGTGTGTGTGTGTGTGTGTGTGTGTGTGTGTGCGTGCATGTGTGTGTGTGACCTGCTTCTGTTTGTTTGTTTGTTTGTGCGTCTGTGAGTTTCTGTTTACTTCAATGACCAAGAATGTCTGTATTCAGCGGATATATTTGTGTGTGTATGTATATTTACGCATGTGTGTATGTGTGTGTTGTTAGTGAAAACATTTACTTTAACTTCTAGGGATTAGTTTGGAGAGAAGTTGTGAAGTTCACAGTGAACCGACTTGTAGAAGGATTCAGCAAACGTGAAACACATGCAGGGTAAGAAAGTGGACTGCTGCTGACAAACTGTACAGTAAATTGTCTGTTAATCATTGAGTTAAGGCAAATAAATACCATTATGCTAATAAATTATTATTCAAAGTCGTTTATAAAAAACATGAAATACCCATTGTTCAGCAAGCCAAATATAAATCATGTGAGGCAACTTTGTTACATAATTCCAAATGCAAACGTTTGGGCTATTAGACATGCATTTAGCCTCTGCCAAAATGTGATGGGTAAGAATGATTGCTTTACGTTGCAAAATGTTTACTGAAAAAAAAGTCAAAAAAAAAGATCGATTTATCTTTCAAGTGTTTTGTCTTCAAGCAGTATTTCCATCAACCTAGTAGGCCACAACACTATTGGTAAGTGAGTTAGTTAGTAATTAGTAGCTAGTTAACTTGGGCATCTGATCACTTCCAAAAAGTCAAAGTGTCAGGCAGGAAGTCCATGCTCTGAGTTATCACATATCTGTGTGCTGACTGAGTAGTTTGAGTGGTAGTGGAGAGGGAGGTCCTTTCTCTTCTCTATACAGCAGCTTTAAGGTAGTGAATATCAAAGTTTTATCACTCTCCTAATCAACAGCAAGGCAAGTGGCAAGCAATCAGACAGAAGACAGATGTCTAGATGCAGCTGAGTAGAGACATCCTTCAGTTCAACCTGATCAAACTGTCATCTCTCTAGCTTGACTGGATCTGTGTGGGCTGAGAACAGCTGTTCAACAGCGGAGTGACTCTCTCCCCCGCTCTCTCCCTGCCTCATACATAAAGTACTATAATGCAGACAGGAAATGTTAGGCAGTATGATGTTGATGAATAGATGCTGCATGGTGAGAGGAACTAAGCTTTAGGTGTTTAAGATGACATATCACATTATCCCCCTGTCCCCCCAATGTGCTTTTCTATTTTAATTCCTGTCACCATCACATCAGAAATGTGTCCTTGTGTGTGTGTGTGTGTGTGTGTGTGTGTGTGTGTGTGTGTGTGTGTGTGTGTGTGTGTGTGTGTGTGTGTGTGTGTGTGTGTGTGTGTGTGTGTTCCTGTGTGTTTGAATTCTCAGAAAGACTGTGTAAGCTCATTTACGTGCATGGGTGGGCGACTATATGCACATGTCTAGCTCTCATTTTGTGTGTGTGTGTGTGTGTGTGTGTATTTCACACAGGTGTATGTTCATGATGCGTTTCACAGGCAACCACTTGATAGAATGTGTTTGTTTACCTTCATTTGTCTCTGGGCTTTAATGCATTCCTCCTCTCCACAGTTAATCCCGCAATTTGTCTTTCTGGGTATTGGCCTCACAGGGGCCACCTTCTATCTGATCCGCCTGGCAAGAGGACCTCATGTCACGTAAGATGCTCCTCTGTTTAATCTGGTCGCCATTGTAGTATCTTACACCTTGCTTTGACACTGTGATATTTTATAGAAATCTTCCATCATTGTCACCTGGATGCATACGTTGGTTACATAAAGATGAAAAACATTGGAGAATGTGTAATCCTTCCAATGTTCAGTTGACCTATGATGCTCGTTTCAGGTTCATATTTGTACGTTGTGCCTCTACTGTGACATGTCTCCATGCTTTAATGTTCAAAAAGCTCTTCATTTTTATCATAATGTCTTAACAGCACCTCTTTTCACCCTCTGTCTGAAACCAGAGCCCAGTCTGCTCTGATTGGTTAGCTGACCGGCTCTGTTGTGATTGGTCAACCACTTTGAGATGTCCTGCCCCTTATACTATCACATACAATGTGTTGGAGCTCTAGCCAATGGAAGTATGAGTGTTACATAGTTATGTCATTATGTCGCATAATTAATAAAAGGGCTGCACTCGATGCATTTGAAGAGAGGGGGGGGACACGGGAGTGTGTGGGAAAGAAACTCTTGGATTTTAGTCTTTGAAGACCATTTACATGCATATACAACACACCGCAGGTAAGGAAAAACCCAACAAGTCATATTTCAGACAGCAGAACCTCCTAGTTAGATTTTATTTATGATATCATACCAATATTTAACCCTTTCCAGCTAATTAGTTTGGGATATGGAGGTTCTTTAATTGGTATGCGAGAAGAAAGGTGTGCATAATAAGAAAGCTACACCTTTTCATTCAGTGTGTCCGGTAACTTGAGTTACTAGGGGCTAACAAAAAAAATCAAAAGCAGGCTGTACAAACCTTCATATCTGCGTAGCTGTTCTGAACTCAGTGAGTGAACACATGATGTTCCTGTCCTGTTTTGGGCCACACAGAGCCACTTGTTCTGAGGTCAGCCATAAAGCCTGACCTCATCACCGGCTGATGATGAGTGGTGAGGTCTGCGGCTGCCTCGCTCTCAGAGACTGTCTAGTGTTTGTGGTAATAGAGAGAGAGAGGGGGGGGACAAGCCCGCTCTGCAATGATTCCCCCGGTCTCTTTGTTTATGCTTTGTGGCATTACGTGCTGCCAGAGATGGGG